TATATTAAGCCCTCTATTATTTTCCTTTTTCATCAATGAACTGTCAAATGATGTTTCATCACATGGGAAACACGGCGTACAATTATTTCCTGACTTGTTTGAAATATTATTATTATTGTTTGCCGACGATGTTATTCTTGTCTCTGACACAGTAACTGGTTTACAGAACCAACTTAATATTCTTGATAACTTTGCAGATTCACATGGATTAACGGTTAATTTAGATAAAACGAGTGTTGTTGTATTTAGACGAGGAGGGCGGTTATCTGTTCATGAGAAATGGTTCTATAAAGGCAAACGTATTTTAACCGCCAACTCCTATAGATATCTTGGGTTTGTATTCTCATATACATCAAAGATGAACCAATGTGTTTCAGATCTAGCATCAAGGGGTAAACGAGCTTTAATGGAAATATTTCGCAATCTACGGAAGATTGGTTTTGTTGACACTTCAGTTTTCTTTAAAATATTTGATACTCAGATTCAACCTATTCTTTTATATGGTGCGGAAATATGGGGTGTAGACAGATTTGAAAAAATAGAACAAGTGCATATTATGGCTTGTAAGAAGTTTCTTAACGTTGGTTTGCAAACCCCAAATGCTATTGTGTATGGGGAATGCGGTCGGTACCCACTACATGTAAATGCTATGTGTCGTTCTGTAAAGTATTGGCTAAAACTGATTGAAATGGACGAAGACAGGATACCAAGAAAATCTTATGATATGCTTGTATATAACGACAAGTGTGGTCGTCATAACTATGCTTCTTCTATTCGTTCCATATTATTTTCTCACGGATTCGGAGTAGTTTTGCTCAGTCAAGCTGTTGGCGACAAACCATCATTCATGAATAGTTTTAAAAACGTTTTTATAAATATGTTCTAAGGCTAGTTCTAGGTACATTCTGTGTAAAGAATTTAAAAGTCTCCTGGAACCAGAAAAATACCTTTCCATTATTACTGAAATAAAATATCGAAATGTTTTGATAAGGCTTAGAGCCGGGCTACTAAGACTTAAGGTAAACGAAGGTAGATGGGCTGATATTGACTTACGTTTACGACTCTGCCCCATATGTGAAACAAGTATAGAGAATGAATATCATTTTACTTTAGAATGTGAATATTACAACGATATTAGACAACATTTTGCAATAATCCAAATATGCATAAATTTAAAACGCTACTGTCATCTTCGTGTAAACAATTACTTGGAAAACTATGTAAATACCTGTATTACAGCTATGAAAGAAGACGTAATTATGAAAAGCCTGTAAACCTGTAAATTTGTACCTGACATTACCTTTTTTCATGTACCACACTATTTCAAATGTATGTATTGTATATGGGCCAGTGGCCTTGGTACAAATAAAGACTTCTTCTTCTTCTTCTACTCAATTAAAGATATATGCAATGAAAACGGATTGATGTCATTTGAAGGACCGAAACTAAAATATCCCATGAAAGGAGTGAGTGAGTGAATGAGTTAAAATTTAACGTCGCATCGGCATTATTTCAGCCATATAGCGAAGAGACCAAGTTAAAATATATACAATTTGGTTATTTATGCAATGTAATATTTAAAAACAATTGATGAAACATATTGGAGCATAACAATATCATTAAGACAGTTTAAAGGAACAATATAAGACTATATATATATATATATATATATATATATATATATATATATATATATATATATATATATATATATATAAACACTTTCAATATACCAGACTATATACACATATATAAACATTCATGTATGTGGAATCAAAGGTATCAAACCGGAAATAGATATACTTTTAAAACTATTTAAAAACATATATTCAATCGAGAAATTCATTGCTATAAAAAAGGATGACAAAAATAACTTTAACAAAAAGGGTCACTTTTATTCTCAGCATTTGAGTCTGACCCCTCTGTTGATACATGCTATGTTTGAGTCTGATTGTGTTTTGCAACCTTTTTGGTTTGAAATGTGACAATGTTCCCAAGCCTTTAAATTTTTAAAGGGTGTATTGTGTCATTCTATGCAATCCAAAATATTTTTGACGGAGTACTGTGTTTCTCTACAACCCTGGCATCAAGCAAATTCTTTTTTTTTAAACCCACCAAAAACAAATAGTTCAGAGAAAGTCACATGAACATACTCTATGTAAAAATACCCTATTTAATACACTCAATTAGAACAAAATGTTTCGAAAAGTACATACAGTGACAGTAGCTGTCAAGATATTACAAGAATAATGTATCAACATCACAAATGCGTACTACGTGTATATGCATAACGTACAAGTATACATATGAGAATTTAAAAAGTTTTCTTTTACTAATCAACATTTATATCTTTGTGATATTGTGTGTATTCAATGGTATTAGAGCTAATGTGTATGGGCTGTAATCCACAGCATAATATAATGTTGGTACGTAATACTCATTGACCCAGATACAGGGTGTATTCCATATAGTCCAGGCAACCTAGGCAATTTTTTCACTCAAATTGCAACAGAAGTTATTTCACCACAATACATTTCTACAAGGTCCCGAAAACAACATACTAAAAATCCCAAGCAATCCTAGTTTGGGAAATATGTCTAATTTGCACAATCCAATGTGGCCACCAATAATCAATATATCTTCATATTTCAGATGAGGTTCAATGTTTTGATAATAGAAAATGCATGTGATGTATTGCGAAATGGCTATATTATGTTTCTAAAAAGATATTACTGAACGTTTTCGACTATTGACAGATCTGCAAAAATCAACGTCAAGCTCCAGCATTCACCCTTACATTTTTTCCACTGTTCATCATGTAATAATGTTCATGAATCACACAGTCCTGTAACGGAATGAGCAGTGGATAAAACGTTTCAGATTTATATCCAAATATTGGTATTTGGTGGTTATATTGAATTTCAGACAATGAACTACAAAAGAGATAACTCATCGACTTCTTGTGAAACAACTGGTTTGAGTTAATTCTGAAAGGACCTCATATAGGTCATACTTGTTTCCAACAAGTATTTACATGAATGAAAACGAAACTTGTTATAGTGTTTCTTGTCATGTTGATAAGTAGATACAGACAATAACAATCAACATTGATATCTTAACTCGCCAAAACATGTCATTTAAGAGATACATATTGATATTTGGTGGTTATACTGGATTATGCAAATGATTGAATATTCTACATGCATCCTTGGGTCTGTTTACCCCCAATGTAGAAGTTCAAATCACTCAAATATGTCATCAGAGACCAAAAGTGTATTGATATTCTATGTCTAGCCATCAAACTCATGGCGACCATCTTGGAATTATGGGCCACCAGGTGGCTCTGGTTACAGAGTTTCTATATTAAAGTGTTCACTATATAGTGAGTTAGTGTGCCAAGTAATATGCATATTAGTCCTGGCACACTGTTTCAGAGTTATAAGATTCAACAGTATAGCACACATTTAGGAAGCTTGTCGGCCATCTTGAAATTGGCGGCCATCTTGAATTTTGGCAGATTTGTCAATAGTTGACAACGTTCAGTAGTTGTGAATATCTTTTTAGAAAATCAATATGGCTATTTTGCACAACAACAGATTCTTATTTTCATCAAAACATTGAACCTCATCTGAAATAAGGAAGATAGATAGATAATTAGTGGCCATATTATGCAAATTAGACATATTTCCCAAACTAGGATGGCTTGGGACTTCTAGTATGTTGTTTTCGGGACATTGTAGAAATGCATTGTGGTGAAATAAATTGTGTTGCAATTTGTTCCAAGTGAAACCTTATTTTGCCTGGACTAATAGCACAGAGTTGACAAATACTAGAATAGTGTTGCAGGTCTCACTCAAGTGATAAAAAAACTCCCCCAAGCTGTGAAACATCTGGAGCACAGATTCAGCCATCCACATATTCTTTTTGTGTCATGACGGTCTCGTATATATTTTCCTCTGAAAAACAAATGTTAGACATGAGTTCCGATAACTTGGATTATATTCAAAATATTTAGCTTACCTATTTATCTATTTTAGTCAGGTGACAGGTAACAGTTAACTTCACACATGTCAAATGCAATACAACTTTGAAACTTTGAAAGCCAGGAGCTTACAGCTACCTGAATAAGAATGTTCGAAACACTTCCGGTTTAATAGCATCCCTTACGGGTTGGTTTCAATGTCAGCCATGAACTGATTAAATTCCAATTATAAAAGCTCAAGATCATATGCACACACGCGTCATGGGAAGTCTAAGTCACACAGACTGACCTTGACTTTCAACGTCATCCAATAACATGCGAGAACAGTACTTGTTGTACCCTTAGTCATGCTAACAATATTTCCTGCATCTATTTACAACTACATCGTACATGTATATGGTCATTTCACGAGTCAATAACCTTTAAAGCGACCTTGACATAGACATGATTTGGTTTCCTTGCAGTTTAACGCCACACTCGGCAACATTCCAGCTTTTTGACGGCGGGCCGAAATACTCAGACAATCCAGTGATTGACATCATGAGCATCGAGCCATGCAATTTGGATACGATGACATGCAACAAATATGGCACATGCAATCAAATAAGCCACAACCATGACAGGTATTGAGTTAATTATTGATATTCTATCATAAGGGATTGGCCAAAGCTTTGATTCTTTACGAATTAATACGAATTTTCGTGAAATGTGAACAATGTTTCATAATTTGACCTCTTATAGCGTTCATCCGAAACACTCCCGCCTTACAAATCATGTATACTAAGGTTCATCAAATTTCATTCATAAATATCCAAGTTATTGTGTACACAATACCTAGTTCATACCGAGTGAACATGACCTTCAATGTCATTCACTCAAATGTCAGAAAATATCCCCTTGGGTATATTGGGTATGTCAGTTGTAGTCTCTAATACCTGCTATACTCACGTGGTTCAGAAAACCATTTGCAGCGGCGGCAGCGGAGTTCAAAATAGAGCAAACACGATAAGCAGACCCCTTACAAGGAAATTCGTATCTATTTACCACCAAGATCCCAGCTGACTGTAGTACTCTTCCCCATCTGCTTGAAAATTTCCTATACGGACAAAAACATCAGATGTAGTGTTTTCTACATGTTATTCACATGTCAATTATCTTGAGCACATTCTGTAATCGAGAACGATTTTGTCTCGAAACGTACTCGGGGGACGAGTGAAGTTCTTTACATTTTAAACTTGTGCGGACTAGGCACGGTCAAATTCGCAGACCAAGCACATTTGTCTGAGCCATTCAACCCTTTCAACTTCTTTGTCTGCTTACATTACATCAAGCCAGCAGTTGATGATAACCCTATATAGATGGAGACAAGGTATCACATAATACTCAACGCTAAGAGTTTGGTTGGATTAAGATTCCATGAAATAACTACAATTCTTCTAGGGTTGGAAGAGAGGTAGCATTGATGTTTAGTCGCATGTTTTCCTAGGGTTCAGCAGTCACAATAATTTCAAGATATACAGTCACTGACATGGTAAAACCAAACTCATTCTCTCGCCCACAACAATTATTTCGAGTGGCCTTACTTATAGAAGACAATGTTACACATAACACTATTACCGGCGCCAGAAGTCCCCTGTTCTTCGATGTGTTCATAAGGGCTGCTTTGGAAATGAACCGACCTGAAATATATGAGTTTTAACATAGAAACAAGAAGACAACGTGATACATATCCTGCTCCATTCATGTATGCCTTCAAATATATACAAACTATATATGACTGACCATAAATATGTAACACATTTTTCCCGATGGCGTTTCAGAAACTTCTTTAGATAAGATCACTTAATCGTGTATTGAAACTGCCGTGTAAACTGGTTTCGGCAAATATTTGGCGATACAGGCACCATGTACATACATCAAACAAGGTCAATAACTCCATTAACATACTTATCCATTAATAACGTATGGAACATGTCATCCTTGTACCCATACAAGTGGCCGGAAGTTTTTTTCCTATAAATGATGCTGGTTTCGAACTTGATCAATTATGTATTCCTTAAGGATGTGTATGTTTGCAGTAACTGGAGATATAGTCATTCAACATTGAAAGCCAAATAATCATTTCACTTTTTAGCTGCTGTACCTTTCAGTAGTTGTTTCATATATGGATGCTGAAAAATACAACAACATTCGATATGTTATTCAAAACGTGAAACAGTCATAAACATATTCATACACCATCATAAACCACATATGTACGTTTATCTCATTTACCATGTTGCTAAAAACTTTAAAAAGAACATTAAGTTGCTCTGAAGGCCCTGGTCGAATAAACTACCCTACCTAATTCTTCCAAAACATAGTGAGTGCGTGAGTGAGTGAGTATGGTTTAACACCGCTTTCAGCAATATTCCAGAAATATTACGGCGGGGGACACCAGAAATGGGCTTCATACATTGAACCCATGTCGGAAATCGAACCCGGGTCTTCGGCCTGACTAGCTAACGATTTAACCACTAGGCTACCCGACCGCCCCTACAAAACATAGATGGAACATGAGAAGGAGACCCATCGCCACCTTTTCCTGGATGCCCCAAAGTCTTCCCACAAGAAACATGGATCATTTACACTTCACTAAATCATGTTGTACCTGACACCACCAACATGTCTAAGCGCCATAATTCTCTTGTACAGAGTAGCCCCCCTTGGCCACGTCATGATTGTGTCAAGAGATACAAATTCCAATTATACATGCTCAAGATCATATGTACACACTCTTCATAGGAAGTCTAAAGTATATACAACTACATTGTATATAATCATTTCACGAGTCAATGACCTTTAATGTGACCTTGACATTTGACAAAATTTATTTTGTTTGCAGTTTAACGCCACACTCAGCAACATTCCAGCTATATGACGGCGGGCCGAAATACTCAGACAATCCAGTGATTGACATCATGAGCATCGAGCCATGCAATTTGGATACGATGACATGCAACAAATATGGCACATGCAATCAAATAAGCCACAACCATGACAGGTATTGAGTTAATTATTGATATTCTATCATAAGGGATTGGCCAAAGCTTTGATTCTTTACGAATAAATACGAATTTTCGTGAAATGTAACAATGTTTCATAATTTGACCTCTTGTAGCGTTCATCCCAAACGCCCCCCGCCTTACAAATCATGTATACTAAGGTTCATCAAATTTCATTCATAAATATCCAAGTCATTGTGTACACAATACCTAGTTCATACCGAGCGACCTTTACCTTCAATGTCATTCACTCAAATGTCAGAAAATATCCCCTTGGGTATTTTGGGTATGTCAGTTGTAGTCTCTAATACCTGCTATACTCACGTGGTTGAGAAAACCATTTGCAGCGGCTGCGGGGTCAAAATAGTGAGTGAGTGAATATGGTTTTACGCCGCTTTTAGCAATATTCCAGCAATATCACGGCGGGGGACACCAGAAATGGGCTTCACACATTGTACCCATGTCGGGAATCGAAACCCGGGTCTTCGGCGTGACGAGCGAACGCTTTAACCACTAGGCTACCCGACCGCCCCGGAGCACAAAATAGAGCAAACACGATAAGCAGACCCCTTATAAGGGGCTACTTATTTAAGGTAGCTAAGAACTGAAATTCATATCTATTTACCACCAAGATCCAATGTCTGATAACCCAGCTGACTGTAGTACTCTTCCCCATCTGCTTGAAAATTTCCTATACGGACAAAAACATCAGATGTAGTGTTTTCTACATGTTATTCACATGTCAATTATCATGTGCACATTCTGTAATCGAGAACGATTTTGTCTCGAAACGTACTCGGGGGACGAGTGAAGTACTTTACATTTTAAACTTGTGCGGACTAGGCACGGTCAAATTCGCAGACCAAGCACATTTGACTGAGCCATTCAACTCTCTCAAGTTCTTTGTCGGCTTACATTACATCAAGCCAGCATTTGATGATAACCCTATATAGATAGTGACAAGGTATCACATAATGCTTATTTTCAACATCTAAGAAAGAAAGTGGCACGAAACAGTGAAGTGTATCTACCTTTAAATGTCATAAACGACCACGCAATAAAAATTGAGGCGTCTGGATAAGAAATAAGTAGATGGCAATTTCAAATGTATTTGAACGCCATATTCGAGGTTATATTCTTTTGACTGTGTTCGCCAGTTCCATCATAGTGGCACAGGTGTAAGACAGTATCACTTTGGGTTTTTCTCACACAGTAAACTAACACAACGTTGCAATTAATGCAAACAATATTGAATGAAATACGGAACACACTTGGGATTGCATAAATAACATCTTAAAAAAACAACAACTATCTACTCCACATCACGGTATTTTGAGCAGCAGCTCTAACAAGTACATAAGTCATTCAAACACTAACGAAACATTACGTTATGGACATCCCGAGTCTCATACAGAAGTGCTCTACTCAACGCTAAGAGTTTGGTTGGATTAAGGTTCCATGAAATAACTACAATTCTTCTAGGGTTGGAAGAGAGGTAGCATTGATATTTAGTCGCATGTTTTCCTAGGGTTCAGCAGTCACAATAATTTCAAGATATACAGCCACTGACATGGTAAAACCAAACTCATTCTCTCGCCCACAATAATTATTTCGAGTGGCCTTACTTATAGTTTATGATACACATAACACTATTACCGGCGCCAGAAGTCCCCTGTTCTTCGATGTGTACATTAGGACTGCTTTGGAAATGAACCGACCTGAAATATATGAGTTTTAACATAGAAACAAGAAGACAACTTGATACATATCCTGCTCCATTCATGTATGCCTTCAAATATATACAAACTATATATGACTGACCATAAATATGTAACACATTTTTCCCGATGGCGTTTCAGAAACTTCATAAGATAAGATCACTTAATCGTGCATTGGAACCGCCGTGTAAACTGGTTTCGGCAAAAATCTGGTGGAACAGGCACCATGTACATACATCAAACAAGGTCAATAACTCCATTAAGAAACTTATCCATTAATAACGTATGGTACATGTCCTCCTTGTACCCATACAAGTGGCCGGAAGTCAATAACTCCATTAACAAACTTATCCATTAATAACGTATGGAACATGTCATCCTTGTACCCATACCAGTGGCCGGAAGTCAATAACTCCATTAACAAACCTATCCATTAATAACGTATGGAACATGTCATCCTTGTACCCATACCAGTGGCCGGAAGTCAATAACTCCATTAACAAACTTATCCATTAATAACGTATGGAACATGTCATCCTTGTACCCATACTAGTGGCCGGAAGTTTTTTTCCTATAAATGATGCTTATTTCGAACTTGATCAATTATGTATTCCTTAAGGATGTGTATGTTTGCAGTAACTGGAGATATAGTCATTCAACATTGAAAGCCAAATGATCTTCACTTTTTAGCTACTGTACCTTTCAGTAGTTGTTTCATATATGGAGGCTGAAAAATACAACAACATTCGATGTGTTATTCAAAACGTGAAACAGTCATGAACATATTCATAAACCATCATAAACCACATAAACCACATTTGTACATTTGATAACATGTTGCTAAAAACTTTAACAAGAATATTAAGTTGCTCTGAAGGCCTTGGTCGAATAAACTACCCTACCTAATTCTTCCAAAATATAGAGAGTGCGTGATTGAGTGAGTGAGTATGGTTTAACGCCGCTTTCAGCAATATTCCAGAAATATTACGGCGGGGGACACCAGAAATGGGCTTCACACATTGTACCCATGTCGGGAATCGAACTCGGGTCTTCGGCCTGTCTAGCGAACGCTTTAAACACTAGGCTGCCCGACCGCCCCTCCAAAACATAGATGGAAAATGAGAAAGAGACCCATCCCCACCTTTTCCTGGATGCCCCAAAGTCTTCCCACAAGAAACATGAAATCATTTTCACTTCACTAAATTATGTTGTACCTGACACCACTAACATGTCTTAGCGCCATAATTCTCTTGTACAGAGTTGGGTCCCTTGGCCACGTCATGATTGTGGGTTCGAATTCCGGTTCACCCCGATTACGTTTCTAGGTTTGTCAGCATCAAACCCGTGCTCGTTGGTTTTACCAAAGTGGTAAACCTTCATCATTTTGCCCTTTCCTCACACACTAAGCTGACACGACGTGTCAGGTTCTGGTCATATCGTAGGACTCGATCTATCTCATCCCGGGCATGTTCGATGGGTAAGAGGTCTGGAGAAAGAGCCGTCCAAGGCAGTACAGCAATGTTATGTTGTAGGCGGGCATTATCCTGCTGCGACGTGACGTCACGTTCCTTCATTTGCATCAATGGTAGAACATGATCTCGAACGATGTCGTCTCGGTAGTGTACGCCATTCAAATTCTTCCATGAGTTGATGTCACCCAATACCTTAAAAAATACACTTCCACCCCAAACCTGACAGTATTCAGTAACGTAATCGTCGCTAAAATGTTCTCCTTGACGCCTGTATACCCTTGTATGACCTCTGGAGCTGTGCTGATTAAACCTGGGCTTATCTGTGAACGGTAACGTCGGGACCGGGTGTTGTGTTTCTCAACCGGTAGCGTGTGGTTCTACGACTAATTGGTCACATCCCAGGATTTGTCCGAGCTGTTAATGTGGCAGTTTGGTATCGATTCCATTGATGCATTAACAGAATAATGTTGTCTTGTTGACGTGACGTCTCGCGTGGACGACCGTCCCGTGGCAGGATATGAGTGTTGTCCTTCTGCAGATAACGTCTCCAAAGAAAAGATATTGTGTTTCGAGGAACATTAAAATGTCTGGCAACTTCCTTTTGCGACATTCCTCTTTGCAGCATGCCCAAGATTTATGGTTAAACAAACGTGTTCTCATGAGCACCTGATAGGTTAACAATCATTGTGTGCTGTTCACATTAAAAATACACGTGTGCGAGTATCATGCTCCCGACAAGTATGCAAACATTCAAATTGTGTGTTGTGCATGAACATGCATGTGCAAATGGTGAATCACGACCTTAAAGTCGAGGAAACGTCTTCATGAATAAGTATTGACAGGTGCATGATTGAATTTATGAGACTTAAGATATTTGCTGGAGGTGAGGCATATTGGAAATATGAAAGGTCAACGTCTCGATTGTCTGCTGAAACAGATTCCTTTGGGGTAAAAGGCAAAATGGTGATGACAATTAGATAAATGGATAACTAAAAATCATTTAACAACAAACAAACAAATATATATGGACCAGTGAAAATCAGTGATGACACCAGGTGTTCGCGAAAAGGGCAATCATGTCCTGTCCTACATTGAATTGGGCTGTGAGCATTTAAGATTACGTACTTGGCTTATGAACACCTCGTCTGGCTAGACACACAATCGTAACAACAAGAGCTGAGGCTAGAACGACAGCGACAAATGATACGACGATTGTAGCATTCATGAACACACGACTGGGGAAAGCTGAAAGACAAAAGAAATACTGTGAATCACCAGAGAGCGAAATAGTACTGAGCCACAACGTATCATTATTTGCGGATTATCAAACATACATTATATTATACATATATACACCTGATGATATGCGCCGTGCTATTTGTTTGTGTACTTTACCTTTGACAGTGATGTAGACGGAAGTCGAGCTGGAACCATATCTAGCCACTCCTCGATAGTCCATCATCGCGTTGATGACTGTGAGCACGTAGGTGCCGGTAGCGTCAAGGTCAACGTTGTCGAGAGACAGAAGGACCATGCCACCATCAACATCTGCCTGAAAACTCTCTGTGGCCTTCGTCCAGGTCAGGTTCAAGGGCTGAGGGTTACTGTCCGCTGAACAGTTGATGAACACCCTGCCCCCCTCTGTCACTGTGTGTTCTCCTTCACAGGAGACATCTGGAGGGTCTGGAATACATGGTGAGCTTATACTACATTTCTTCGTAACTATACTAAATTCCTTCGTAACTATACTACATTTCTTCGTAACTATACTACACTCCTTCGTAACTATACTACATTCCTTCGTAACTATACTACACTCCTTCATAACTATACAGCCAATTCTATAATCATATGTCTCCCTTCTTGAATAATGTCATATCAAAGATCAAACCGAGTAGGCAAGTCTATACTTGAGCATTTGCATTTGTGATGACATTATGAGGAGCTGCAATACGAATGACTGTTTCTGACCTTGACCATGACAATTTCCTTAACCAAACAAAACGAGAAACTCACAAAGAATGTTGACTAAGGTGGATGATGCTCCTGCTATCGGACGGAATCCGTTGTCTGCGACACACTTGAGTTCTCCTTGATCTCCTCGTTGGGCACTTAGTGCAAATGTGTCCCCATTTCCAACTTCCATCCCTTTAAAATACCAGGTGAAGTTTTCAACCCGAGGATGGGCGTTGTCTACGACACACTTGATATCTAGCTGATCGCCCAGGTGGACATCCAAGATTTTCTTTGATGGCTCAAGGTGTGTTTCAGCAGCAACTGCCAAACAAGTTTCCTGACAATAATTATTAGTGAAAAATTATTTTAAGAGACACTTGGTTATTTAGCATTGTTGTCCACCCAACCGGATATCATTTAGTTGTGTAGTGTTTCATTAAAAAAGGGGGGTTAATATGTCCATATATTCATTTGACAATGTCTAAACATCTGATGTGGTAAGTTTACCAATTGTAGCTTTTTACTTATAAATTAGAATATATATATAATAACTTTAGAGATAGCGATTGATTGCAATGCAATGAATACACATAACACACTGCATGATACAAATGTAGATAGGTTACTAACTTTAGCAACAACAAATAGTAAGGAATATTTATATATTACATGAACAAAACCCAGAGAAATAGGTCTGAAGAAATTAATTTTGCCAATTACCTATTCATATGTATGAGATGGTTGAGCTATCATTGTTATCATTAAATATATGTAATACAAAAGATATCAGAACTATATGCGATGGTTATTGGATTGTGGTAAATGGCAATTTATTAAACATGAGAAAAGATTAACATGACACAATCTTACATGAACAGCGGACACTGGCTCCAGTGGTGCAATGTCCATTCTGACCCCATCCATCATGTTCACACTGACCAAGACTGGTTTCATTGCCAAGGCATGACTGCACTCTCAACACAATGTCTACATCTCTCTGAGGTGTCCCCACACGTGCCTGCTCACTGGAGATCAATGTGTGTATATATGTATTAACCTGAAACAAACTTGGATAAAAATTATTTTTCGGATGAATACCATTATATACTCCCCGAATACCAGTTAAAGTTCAGGTAACTCCGTATTTGTGGAGATTTTCATTCCACGCAGGTACGTATATAACTTAGGTACGTACATATTTCCTGTAATGCCAGCATGGTTATAATGCCACTTTTCACAGAATGGGTTTCTGCTGTGCAACATTCCCTGGTTAGAATGCCACCCTGGTTATAAAGCCATTTTCTATTCATCTTGTTACATAAAAATGGCAGTTGCAGTTAATCTTTTGGAGATAATTCCTTTTTCCAATTCAACAAACTAATTTCACTCATCTCTGAGCATATCTCAGTTTTACAGCGAATCTTCAAACAGATAATCATTATTTTTCTTAAAATAACAAACAAACTAGTTGGATGTTAATGATATAATTCTTTTCTGTAATAACGTCTTCAATCGCCATTGTTTCATTTTCTAACAAATATTACGTTGGAAATGGATGTTCAATCATCCCTGATTTTAATGCTTACCGCTGGACAAAATGTGGCTTTATAAACAGGGAGGACTGTATGTATTAAGCTGGAACTAACGGGGACATAAAATACATTGATACTTCGTGATTGAAGCAACCGGCGATATCATCAACTGTGTATACACCAGGGAATGCCTGGAGCATAAGGACTTCCTAACCTTCATACTCAGGAAAGCATTCTCAACTTGAAGGTAAACAGGCTTCTTCCCATACAATTAAATGTATCGAGGGCCGCAATGTTTAAATGAGATCTATGATAAACTCTCGTTCAGAGGGCCATTTTGTTCAAATCGAGATAACCGCGAATCTCTGCTTGGTGATTAAAAGATGGAGATTGTTACTTCCAAAACAAATCATTGTGGCGAATGGGTCAAATGTACTTGTCATAATAGAATGGAGACACAGTTTTAATACTAAGAGACATTTCAGTTCTTAAAGGAAATGGTAAGGCAGACCGAGCCGGTTCCTCTTCTTCTTTTGTGTAAAGCATAACAAGATAAGTGTGTACATTACTGTCAGCACTTACATAGGCTGTCCAGTCATTCTACAAGCCACTTTGGCAGCCATGTCGTCAAACGTATCGGCACACACACCACCCCATGTACTGTTGTAAGCAACTTCTAATATCTCTTCTGTGTCGTTTGCAGGCGAGGATAGAATCATTCGAGCTGTTGAATATATTATAAATACGTTTTATAAGAAACGAGATTATAGTATAAACTTTGGTGTGGTTTTGTATTCATCAAGTTATCGGTTGGAATTGAAATGAATCAAATTACCCACACTAACCAGACATTTAATCATGTTTTCTGTTCCTTTCAGCAGATTAAAACGACCATGAATAACATACAGCAGCACCAATTTATGACTGACCATCAATTCAGTCAAGAAAGCAGCTCTTTGCCTTTGCCCAAGCTTCAGTCCTGGCAAATGTGTGTCATGTCAACATAGGATCCCTTTAGCAATACAGTAAACTACGATTATAACGAATACGTTTATAACGAACTGACCGATATAACGAACTTATTTTTTAGTCCCGGCCATTTGTTGTATATATGCTTTTAACGAACTTCGGTTATAACGAACCAAAATTAGGGGTCCCTTTGAGTTCGTTTTAACCGTAGTTTTACTGTAAATGTAAAGAGAACCTTCAAGCATACCGAAATTTCCTGTGAAAAAAACCTCGACATATTATAACTGATAAACCCTTTCAGCATACATCCCTCATTACTAGACCAATGTTACCTTCAGTACAAACAAGTCCTGTGAATGTTGCACATGACTCCTCTCCCCAGCCAGAGTGGGCACAAAACTCCAGTGACTCTTCAGTCCCTGTACATGTTATGTTCTGTAGCCATATAAACATCTCGGATCCACGTTGCATGGCGGTATTGTAGGCACCGGTCCTACAATGTAGATAATGCTGCCAATTAGAATTCAAAGGAGTTAAACACTGAAACCGCGTTGGTTTGATCCCTCCAATATGGAATTCACAGTTTGGATAATTACTTTTGGATAATGTCTTTATTATTAAAAAAGACACTATTCTGTGTACCAAGTTATCCGTAAGAATTTAATCGGAAAGGTACCATCCGAATTTATGTGATTAATTAGATATTCTTCAAAATCATTCTTTTATTTTAAGGGGTATTGACTTGTACGTTAAATTTTCTGGACATGACATTGCCACGATTCTTACCTATACAGATGTAGAGTGTAGATAATGCTGCCAATTAGAATTCAAAAGGTTAAACACAGAAACCATCAGGACATTATTACCATGGTAATCCAAGTTTCTTGCATGCTACCCGAGCCTCGACGACCGAAAACGAGTCACCACACACATAGCCCCATTTGTTGCTATGTAAAACGGACAGGTACTTGACTCCAGGGGTGATTGTTGTAACTAAACGGGGGCTGAAATCTGGAACAAATGGGATCATTAATGATACTTCAATGACAGGTATTGCATAGAATAATGTATCATTTTAGACATTTTGTTCCCTGATGAAGTAAGCCTTTTGTAATGAGAAGGAAATCATGCAGAGACATATCACATTACCAATAATAAATATCGAAAGTTTAAATAGATTTTATAATTATTTTGAACAGACGTTGCGTTGTCACCTCTAATGTTATAAATCTGCACCGATAATTATATTATCTAATCTTCAATTCAAAACATGAAACTGCATTACCAAGTCATGAAGTAGTATGATGGCACCATGATTTTACAGTATCATTCATATTAGTGGAATGTTTGGGTAAAACTCCAGTTGACGTTTTCCTCAACACATATCTTCTGTACTATGTACTCTATTATTCGTTATTTGACATCACAAACCTCAGGAATGAGTCTGGAGTTCACCGTATATCAACTCTAAAGAGCACGGTAAATAGCAATAGTCACATCAAAGAGAACGACAATATTTTCAATACCTTCAAGACATGTGACACGTATAGAGTGATAGCGATGAGGTGCCTTCGTGCAAGCATTGATTTCACCCTCAGTAACATCACATCGCACACCATATGCCAAATCTACATTCGTTATGTGGGACCCTTCTCTGTAATGCACAGAAGAAATAGTATAGAAGCTAGAAATATATTATGATGTTAATGTTTGTGTTTACATGAAAGCGTTGTATTGGAAGCATATGTTCTGGACTATAATTAATGGCGGTTGTAAGTGTCAAGGTTTCTTTTTGGCATATAAATCTACAAGATAGTGTAAACTTACCGGCATAATACATTCGTTATAGTGTCAGAGAAATAACCTAATATGACACCATATACGGCAACTAAAGACACCCTAACTAATGTTATGTTATTGTCCAGTATAAACAAATGATGGTAGGTGAGAAAAAAAAAGTTGAACACAGTGTACTTCAACATGAATCATACTTAACGAATAACGGATGTTTGCTGAAAGGTAGAATGACCGGGCAATAACTTGCTAAACAATTTCTCACCAAGATCAATGTGAACAAAGTGCGGAAAGCAAAGTAAATTATTTTCAATCTCAAACTAAAGTCAACAACCTCGAAAAATATACTCATGCAAGCTTGCATCCGAACAGCGCCACCAGGACTATGAACATCTTACAAACATTGCAAGAGGTGAGGTGAATTGAGGTTTAACGTCGCGTTCAAGATTGTTACACTTATATAGCGACGTGCATGCACGTGTGTGTGTGTGTGTGTGTGTGTGTGTGTGTGTGTGTGTGTGTTTGTGTGTGTGTGTGTGTGTGTGTGTGTGTGTGTGTGTGTGTGTGTGTGTGTGTGTGTGTGTGTGTGTGTGTGTGTGTGTGTGTGTGTGTGTGTGTCTTTCTGTCTGTGTCTGCTTGTACTAGTCCGAAATGATGCCGTAAATACTGTTAATTTTCATCAGTCAATACATTAAAAAAAAAAAAAAGGATGAATAATATGTTAAATATAACATAATCTGATGTTACACACAATTGAGGTTAAGACCCATGAGGAAGAGATGAGAAATGTTCTGAAATGTCCAAAACGACACACAATACAATTTGACACTGGAAACACCGTTCAGATAGTTGGTCGAGTAGGGGAAAATCTGTAGAACAGAACGGGTCATAATACCTTATCAGGAATATGAAAGTAACCTCATATTGGCAACAATGGGATATTTAATTCAAAGAATCTAGAATAGAAACAAGGACACTCAGGAATATGGATACAATATTTGATATGTAAGGTATGAATCATTTGAAGGAATTACTGGAGATATAACATAAGGTTTTCTTTATAGATCAAGATCGTCCATCTCAAAAGGATATATGCACCTGAGAAGAACATATATTTATCATAAAATGCTAAATTTATCAAAAACAGATAATAGGATCTTTGACTTTTTATCTAATCTTAACACAATCGCCAACATTTGAGAAAGTTTTTTAAAAATCATTTGAGCAGTTACTGAAACGTTTTCGTTGGTCTTAAGTTTATGTATACAAATGACTGAATATCCAGTTAAAACGACAAAAAAGTGTTTCACCATCTTACGCCTGAAAACCCAGCATCCTGCACGCAACCGAGCCCAACCTATCAGCAGAGGTGTAGCCGGTATAACACACATACTCCCACTGTTTGTCATGATATGCTTGAAGTATACCAGTTGATGGGCGGGTACCAAGTAGCCTCAGAGGGGTGGTGACTGGAAGGAAATATTATGAGATAAGTAATTTTGATATCTGTGAATTTGATTATATTATAGGGTATATTTTAAAGTTCGTAAAATAAGAAAACTTCACAGGGTATGTTCATGCATTTGTTCTTGAACTATGTGACAATGACGGACTTAACAAAAACTAAATACATTGTAAACTGTGTAAATAACAAGATGAGTTTTGAAAGGAAAGCACACTATTTCGGTCGATGCATCTCCGGTGCTCTAGTAGCGTGTATCGAGGTAAACTTTTGTCTATGGCAACAATGAAGGCTCAGTGTACAGTTGCAAAGTGATACCGACGCACCTTTTCCAATGACCAAAACTACCCGCACCTGATCTGTTTACAAAATGCTATACGGGGCTGTATTTGAAACGTTTACACGGCGCATAAGCCATCAAAACGTTTTCAGTTTACTTATTTTACACACTGCTTAATCGCTGTTTTGAAGCATGGAGTCAGGTGAAAACAATAAATCAAGTCAGCCCTGACACAAGCAATTGCACCTGACATACTCTGAAACGGACGTTCATTCATTATTGATCAGTAAGATCAGTAAGATCAGTATATCAAGTCACTAAGACTACAGTTTTAAGCGTCGAATTTTAAAGCACTGCATGTTTACTCACAAGAGCAAACGACGCCAACATCTTCATGGTGACCACAATCGTGCGTCCCCCATGACCGGTGCTTGCAATCGTCTATGTCCCATTCCTGCCCAGTACAGCCCACGTCATCCAAGTGAATAAGACCCGTTCCATTTCCAACGTTCTTCAGTGGCCTTGCTCCTGACCTACAAACATGCACTTGTTGTTTTACAAATGATTAAAATTGAAAAGACATTCTTGAAGATTAATCACGCGCACAACTGATGTAGATATAGGTTTAATGAATAGCGACTGTAATTTCACGTTTATGTGGTTTGAACATCGCTACACATTTTGTATTTTCCAGCACAAATGATGTTCTCACAAGCTGTGCGTATGTTCGTTTTTACTATTCTGGCTGCAAAAATAAATTTTGTTATGGACAGAAATATCGCGCCCGGAACGATTGTTTACCGTGGCATTTCTAACAAGGAGGTCAAGGAGGTTGGTAAAAGTATGTTTCAACAATGTTTGAGTTATTGATGAGTACAAAATAAATATCTTAGTACAATGTCAGTCTGTAGAATCTGTTCAGATACTTATGTTTTAAAAAAAGAACAAGTACAAATATTGAATTTTGAACGGTAAAGTTTCTGGTTGGGTAGAAACCCATTGTCTGCTTGTTTAATAGCATTTGATGCATTTAATACTGAATTGGAAACGGGTCAATATAGTTCTGGTTGAGTAGAAACGATCGTCATGTGATCAGCGACTGAATCTTGAGGCCATCAGATGAATAATAGTACACAGTGGTTCCTTTTCATAATATTCATGCTATGTTTATTTTGTGAGAATAGCATGTATGCATATTATGTTATGATCATCCCGTAAATGATAGTTCGAAATAAAATGAAAAACAAAACCTTTCGATTATTGAAAAACACATAAGCTGTAATGCAAATTACGCCAAAATGTAAATATGTATTGTTTGCTTCTTTTGATTAAATTTTACATATGATGGGGACATTTTCTGGGTTTTGGGTCACTAGTCAGGCCTCAAACGTTAGATGAGCTTATGTCTTGGCGCTTTGTGCATCGCCCGTCCCTATTTGAAATCGCACAGACACAGAAGACGGGTGAACGAAAACCCTGCATTTTTCATCTTCCACGCCCTGACGGCGGGGAAGTGTAAGGGTTAGTTTGTTTTTGACTGAAGAAGGGCGCCATTTTGGTTTCTCAAAACTTGGAGTCTGTAAAATGAAATGAGAGTGACTTAATCTGGACATGTTTTAACCAATCGTCTGTCACATTCTGTGACTGAGTTATGGTCCGTAATGTAGATAATGCATGCAATTTGTTCATTTTGTTTTTAAAAAAGCCATAACGGTTTATGTTTTGTAAGAATAAACTATTGCGCATCGAGCGAGTATCTTCTTAAGCTATAGGCGTAGTATAAAGTTTTATCACGCACTGACCTTGCAATACTGTACATCGTATCTTATGCAAGCTGTAAGCTGCCGTGGGTTTGGAAAGTGGGTGATTGTTTCCCTTTACCGAATAGCTCTATTGCGCACTACCTTTGCAATGTATCGTATGTTATTCAGGCAGCCAGCGTAAGAAATTCAGGTCAAGCAAGTAACGCGCACTCAATCTTTCTCCTTCCACGCTGCTATTGCAACTTATTGGTCAACACGATTAAATACCAGGCTTCTTTAAAGTATGATTTTGTTTTAAAAAAAACACTTGTAAAACAACGGGTTTGATATGAGAACTGTGTAATAATTGTCTTCATAATCATATGTATTGTGCTTGCTGTGCACAGTTGAACACAGTATTGTTTCACAGTAATTCACAGTATGTTATGTATGATTCATACCGTTTCATGTGGTGGTTTACGGTTCTACCTGGTTTATTGCTTTGATGGGTTTTTTTAAACTTCCGGCAGAGGTTATACACCCGTATATGTTCTTTACTTCAGGATACATAGGAAATCAACAGGTTGGTCTGTAGTTTGCAAGTATTTTCCTAAAAATAATTCGGTTCCATGATATTCACGATGTTGGGTTGAACATAGTAACATTCTCCTGAACATACTTCAAATCTAAACCGGAAGTAATCACAGCACTAACCCAGCTAACCAAATGGAACCGTACAGAACAGTAATGAGTGAGTGGGTGAGTGAGGTGCGTTTAACGACGCTTTGAATAGTATTCCATTTCTATCTCGGCGTGTCAGCTTGATGTTGGAGGAAAGCCCGAAGTGATACAGGTCTTAGACATTCACCACTTTGGTGAAACCATAGAGCATGGGTATGGTGCTGACAAACATAATCGGGGCGAACCGTGATTCGAATACACTGCCATATGTTTCTGGTGTGCCCAACTCTGCATTGCGATTGGCAGCGCCTTATTACAAAACACACTGGGACATTCAACATACAAAAGAGGTACATTATAACAATTTCATTTTAAAACAAGTGTATTTTAATGATATGGAAACAATATGAGAATTGAGCAAAACTATGGTCATGTTGTACATACAATAAATTTATTTATTATTTTAGATATGAAAACAGACATTGTTTCTGGATAACTGTTGGTAAACATTGTTAAGAATTGTTCCTTTTTACAGAGTGTAAATGATTACATTAACTATGTCTTTCTCTTTGTGCAGTACATTTGTAGCACCTGTACTACCTGTATTCTCTTCAGCGCCAGGCAGGCAAACAAGGGGTACCATAACGCGCTCTATGTGCAGACGCTCTATCCACTAGGCCACACCTTATTGAAAATCAGTTATGAGAGTATGTTGGCCAATCGTGACTTACATGATAAATAGGGTTATAAATGTACAAGGAACAATATTTAAGGGAACTCATGTCATTTCAGCAGTAATAATGAAATGATCATTTTTGTTGCATGAGGCACAGCTCCTGAGCGCGGATAGCATACTCGATCAAACTTTGCACATTGCGCATATATAGCATGCCGTCGACACATCCTGGTTACTGGCATGTGGCAAAAAACGCCACAACCACATGGTTCATTGATCGGGTACAAAGAAGGAAAATGAACCCAAAATGTACCTGACAGACAATGAAACATTGCGCACAGTAGGTATGATTATAGCTGGCCAATCACAGGATGGAGCTGCCAGACACTTTGTTAAACTAAAAGTGTGCTATCCCGACTGATGGAACGATATCGGCAAACGGGTTGGGTTAAGAGTTGGGTGAGTAGAGGAAGGCCCAGAAAGACTACTCCCAGGCACGATCGATATATTGCGCTGCAGAATAGATTTATTTCTGCGCCAGAACTAAGGAACAACTTCAGGACTTCCACAGAAGTTTGTCACAACAAGGTGTCACAACATTGTCCTGGCCAGCCAAATCTCCAGACAAGTCACCGATTCAACACCTTTGAGATATTCTGGGCCGAAGCGTTCTCAGAATGTGCAGCAACTTGGCCAGGCCTTACAAAACGAATGGCGAAGGATGCCACGGGAGACAATCCGGCATTCGATGTCCAGAATGCCCAGAAAATCGTGCCTGCATCGATGCTCACGGGGCATGGTTCCGATATTGACCTTACAACAAAGATTGAATTCAACGACATTTCTTTACATATCATTTCTAAATAAATTTGGGTGTTCCCTTATATATTGTTCCCAGTATACACTGCAGTTGATTCCGTGATATTTGATTGGCTGGCCATGCAGCGTCGTTTGCGTATATGTCTTCATAAACCGAAAAGTATGCAGCTCCCACTAACGGAGCACTGTTTTTTGATTGACTGATACTAGAATAGGCGGACCTTGTGTTGCATTATTGCGCTTAGCAATGTCACTCATTAATGTGGTTGTCTACAGTTTTTGCTTTTTTATTAAGTCTTTCTGTAAAGTCTGTGAAGTTATTATCGTTGACGTATCTGTGTCTTAGAATTGATTTTAATATGTTTTTGTGTCTATGGTGTTATGACGTAAGACGCAATGTGCCAACATTTCAAGCGGATTTAGACCCGTGAAGATCCGGGGTAGAATAGGACTTCAGCAACCCATGCTTGTCGTAAAAGGCGACTATGCTGTCGTAAGAGGCGACTAACGGGATCGGGTGGTCAGGCTCGGTGACTTGGTTGAAGCATGTCATCGTATCCCAATTGCGTGGATCGATGTTCATCATATCAAACACTGGATTATTTGGTCCAGACTCGATTATTTACAGACCGCCGTCTAGAAGCTTGAATATTGCGGCGTAAAACAGAAAACCAGAACCAAAAAGCACGCGGATTTACCTAGTATCCAGTGCTATCCACACATGTTTTTACAAGTTTGTGTTTCTATTTTAAGAATTTGGTTGACTTCTTGTCAACGGTTCTGTTAACTTCTGTTAAGTTATCAGAAATGATAATGTAATAAAATCAGATGAAGTATCTGTGTCTGTATTAAAGGCCTTTTGTTCAAGATAATGTCAAGATGCTTCAGAAAGTTAATATGCTTCAGAAAGTGTATCGATGGAAGACACACAGACGTCGCTATTTAAACGCAGTAACCCTTAAAAGGGACGTTAAACCATTTCATCTTACTTCACCTACCAATAAAAACGATCTTGCATACCATAATAATAATAATGTAACTCACTTTGCATAGCCTAACATGTGACAGGCTACCTTGGCACCGTTAACGTTGCTGTCGAAGCCGTCATCACATACGGTCCCCCATGATCCGTTATGGTAAACCTCCAGTCTTCCCCATGCTGCGGTGGTATTTGTACTGCCAATCAGACGCAGCAGAGTACCTGCATCTGATAAAAGCAAAACAGGTTATGTGCACACAAAGACATGCAGTTAATAAATTAACCCACGAACAAATAATAATAAAAAGGAAGTTGATTAAATTAAGAAAGAGTGAGTGAGTGAGTATGGTTTTACGCCGCTTTTAGCAATATTCCAGCAATATCACGGCAGGGGACACCAGAAATGGGCTTCACACATTGTACCCATGTCTGGAATCGAACCCGGGTCTTCGGCGTGACGAGCGAACGCTTTAACCACTAGGCTACCCGACGGCCCCCTTCAGATTTAGAAGTTTTAATTGTTTTAAGTGATGACTTCGCTCTAACTTCCTGTTTATGTTTATCACGCTTTCTATTCTCCTACATAAGTGCACTTCTCAGGAAACATATTTACAAATACACCCTTTGTTAGAATATGTTAGAATAATCGTTTTCACAAACACTACTCCACAGCTCCACCAAATATGGTTTCTGTCAGAGGCGAGTAAACGCCCACTCACGATTATTGCACTTAGATAGGAACGTGTGTGTGTGGGTGTTTGTGCGTGTGTGTGCATGCGTTCGTTGCTTTTTTTTGCGTTCGTGCGTTCGTGCGTGCGTGTGTGCTTCTCCTATTCGACTGATATGCTGCATGATTACCCCACTGAGACACAGTACTAATATACTGAATCCGAGTCGACTTGTCCTTGTTGTATCCCCTTAATGCCGAGGGCCAGGCAGAATTACACCAAGTAACGTGTATTGGCATGTCGCGGCCGGGGATCGAACCACCGACCTTTCGGGCTTTCTGTCATAAGATGTGGATGACAGGTTATTCAGTCTTACGGTAAGTGTTCATAGTCACGCATGTACAACAGTGTCAGTGGAGATTTCGAGTTATGCTTGTCGTAAAAGGGGACCTAATCTTAAACATGTAGCTGGAATATTGCTGAGTGAGACGTTAAACAATCAAGCAATTGCAAATAGAATACAGTAAAATACGGTTATAACGAACTCAAATGGACCCCTAATTTTAATTCGGTATAACCGTAGTTCGTTATAAGCATATGTACAACATCTATACAGAAAATGAACGGCACCTAGAAACAGTTCGTTATATCCGACAGTTCGTTATAAGCGTGTCCGTTATAAACGTAGTTTACTGTATAGCAACAACATATTGATGAACACAAAGAATTTTAAACCTCGATGGGAACACGTAACCGTCACACAAGTCCGTCACGCTACCACCTATGCTACGGAGACTGTTGTCGTCACGGGTGTCCACTTTCCTAGTTACCACTAGCTTTGTTTATTTCTACATTGTTATGTTAATATTGTACCAAGTTCGTTGTAAGCCCTGATGGTGTATGTGTTATGCAAGTGCCCGTAAATCTGATTTACACATCTAATCTAATATATATCATACATCTCATCCATATTTGACTTATAGCCAGATGATATGCAATTTATTGAACATATTTAAATTCTAAACATTTTGGGGGTGCTGTGTTTAGGTGGTGTTTAGGCTATGAGGCTCATTTCGTGTGTTTAGACCCTAACCGTGTTCAGACAGAACACACCAAATGTGCTTACCGTTTAGGATTGAAACACATCCCTAATCATGTCTTGTATGTGTTTACATTCTCAACTCATTTCACAGTGTAATTTAAGTAGTGAATTATACTAATTTAATAAGTAATATTTACTATATCTTCAGCATCTTCGTGTAACCCACCAGGCAGGATAGTAAATTCTCTGTTTACTAAGCTTCTCGACGCTGTTACTACATAAGTTCACTATACTGTTTTCTGAGAGTAGCAAACATCAAATGGTAAAATGTGTGATCTGGTTGATCGTACCCCTTATGGTACCCGGAAAATCTATCTGATGACAGTGATAGAAAGTTCTGCGCTTTTAAATTAAATACAATCACTCTGTCACTCAGTGATATAAATCAGATGGTGTGAAATCGTGTTTAAGACTCTTACCGGCAGTGGCACATATTATGGAAATCCCGATGATACACAATACAGAACGCAACATTCTGGTATGTGTCCCAGAAGAGAAGGTGCTACTATTGCGAACCTCGGACCCTGCGCATGTAGTTATCAATGTTTAATTAATAGTGATATTAAAGGAAAGCGAATAATGTGTATCAATGACGCAGAGAAATAAATACAAAGAGGAAAGTCCCAGCAAAGGAAATACATTATACAGTTGACCTCACATTGAAGATGGGCAAGTCATAACAATGCCTGGTAGATAACGTACAACATTTTCCTCTTTCACTTGTCCCGTCATGTCAATGATACTGATCACTGTACAGCTCCCTACGCTGTCTCGTACATGCCTGAACTGAACTTTATAACTTTCAGGCTGTCGTCGAAGGCATTAGAAGAATATAAACATACACAATACATGTACCACACGCAATGACATTCAGAGGACATGCAGTGTTGTAACATAATACTTCATGCAAGATATGTTATATTATCTAAATTTTTGATTATTAACTTTACAAAAGTGACTTAAATTCTTAACAGTCCTATTTTTTAGTGGAAAATAGCAAGACAAAATTCGGAATGTTGGGCTATTTACAATTATATAATGGGATACAAATATTTCTCTGTTTGTTAACGGGGTGATTAAATGATAATAAAACTCATATACCTTGTCTCTGTTTTCAGATAATGGACGTAATCTATTTGTGCTAATGGAATTTAGTTTCATCTGCCTTTTTCAATTTGAAGTGGATAATTTGAAGTTCGAAAATGACATACTGGTATTCCATATTTAATATCCAAAATTTTAAGATATGATTCAGAATATTAATCAGATTTAAATACCTTATATAAAGTATATGTATGTGGATCAGTTGTGCATTTATATCCACAGTTTGACGAACATTCATTCAGTCAACGAGAAATACTGCATATGAGTCTTCCAATGGCGATTTTTAGTCTGTCCCACTCTTGCAGCAGGGGGCATGGGTGGCCCAGTCGCCTGAGGCGCCGCGATTCGCTGTGCAGAGTTGCCTCCCTTGGGCACGCCAGAAACCTATGATTGTGGGTTCGAATCCCCGTTCGCCCCGATTATGTTTTCTAGGTTTGTCAGCACCATTCCCGTGCTCGTGGGTTTCACCGAAGTGGTAAACGCCTGAGGCCTGCATCACTTCGGGCTTTCTTCCCACATTAAGCCGACACGCCGTGATATAACTGGAATACTGTTAAAAGCGGCGTTAAACCCAACTCACTCACTCACTCTTGCAGCACCTGGCCAAGTTCATGACACGTGACCAGCGACGACTACCCCCGTATCGACATCGTGTTCACCATTGACATGTGTTGACTATATGACAATTTGTAATGGGTGGCACAACACGTGGCTGTCGACCATGGAGATTAGCTGCATATTGACGACTTCTGATCGTCTGACCCGTAACTCCTACTCCAGTAGTCTGATGAATGTTTGCAGCAATTTGATTCGCCGTTGAGCTTGAATTCGTAGAGCCTTGTTTCGAATCAATCGATCCTGTACTCTTGTCGTTGACCTGCGGCGCCTTGAATGGGGTCCCTCCTTAACATTTGGGGTTTGTTGCGACCCGTTTTATAATCTGCTCATCACAGACTGTGAAACATAGAACATATTGGGGGCGGTCGGGTAGCCTAGTGGTTAAAGCGATCGCTCGTCACGCCGAAGACCCGGGTTCGATTCCCGAATTCCCGAATGTGTGAAGCCCATTTCTGGTGTCCCCCGCCGTGATATTGCTGGAATATTGCTAAAAGCGGCGTAAATCCGTATTCACTCACTCACTCACTAGAACATATTGGCCACTGCGCGCTGACTTCTGTCAGTTTCCAGCATACGTAGACGCTCCGCGCGTTGCAGAGGTCGCATCACTTGTTCATACACAAACAATGAATGGAATCAAGTAAATCACGAGTGTTTTACGAGCAGAATCCATAAGATTGACAGAAATAATGGTCCACAGAGATCTATCGACCTTCCTTGAAAGTGTCAAAATCAGCAATGACAACCTACGTACGTGTCGTGCAAACTATAGGATGTGTTGTGGTTTTAGGTTTTACAGACATGAACGTTCTTGCATAGGAACAACTTGCCTTGTCGTCAACACTTATCTTTATCCTAATACTTACTAATATCAACATGTATATTTCCCTTCTTTATAAGAGTATATAATCATGTGTAGTTTTGTCAATAGATGCCCCCACCGCGAAACAAGAAATATCAAGGAATAAAATAAAAAAATGCACACAAAAAACAAAGTAGGCATTCCACTCGCATCTGTCGATTTGTATTTCAATTATAATTTATGCTTTCGCGAATTATGTTTGTTTGTTTGTTTGTTGTTTAACGCCGCACTCAGCAATATTCCAGCTATATGACGGCGGTTCGCGAATTATTATGTGATATGGTGATAACATTTAGCTTCTCAATATCTACTTTAAACACATATCCACGATATGTCTTTATTGCATAGTTTTCGCAATTTTCCTTCTTGTTGTGTTGTATCCAAGAATTCATAATAGTGTTGTCACAGAGTGACTTAACTGCACTCTGGACAACGCAATGTTAAAGAATTGTAGCTTCTGAACAACATCCCTTTTGTACAGTATTGAGAAAATATCATTTAGGAAATCTGGACTATTTAACATGATGTAATCCATGCGTAACAGCGGTCAGTTGAACCATTGTCTAACACAGCATTTCACATTATGACATTTATAGCCTTAATCCATTTTCCCCCGGCCGTGTCTGTATTCACATCCATAAGCCCCATGGCCAGGGCAACGCCATTGTCTCTTTGTCTGTCTATTGTTGTCCTATAGTGTATATATATGTTTACATCTTTACTGTTAGTCAGTCTGGTATTCCGACAGCACCTGTATGTACAGCCGCGAGTAGGATACGCCTGCTTGCTGGACTTCACTTGTACTTGTTGAGTTGGAATCTCCGCTCGACATATTTCTATTAGTAATTGTATTTGTTTGTATTATTGCCGACTAAAGAAGTTTGGACTCAACGTATTCTTCGTCTTCAATCTGAGCTTATTTCCCCGTCAACATACGCGTTGACAACTGGTGTTAGAATCCGGCTGGAGTAACTTTTGAGCTTACTCCCGATCCAGTAACCTCTCCACTTGCCTACCATCTACATACGTGTATATATCGAGGATGAATTCCCAAGTCCTGTGTCTACCCCATGAAATCGTTAGCGTCCTGATCAACATGGATCTCCAGCACCTTCATCTTGAATGGACCATCCAAGAAAGTATGGACAACCTTCAAGTGAACCTAAAATGGAGGAAACAGCCAGCAGCCACAGTGAGTAATGTCATAATAAAGTCGACAACCATGAAGTCACGGGCCAAAATTGAGCGAGATAGGAAACGCCATAACAGTTATATGAAGAGAAAATGTGCCCAAATCCATGCTGATGAATGTACCTTGCTGAGCACCACAAACGTACATACAGTCAGTACAGTTGCCAAGTGTATCAACAAGAAGGCAACACCTACGTATAGTGATGCGTCATGTCAATCTGAGAAGTCCCCATCAGTTAACACTGGGACTATGACGAACCCGGTCTCGTTTGCCAGTGTTGGTTCTCAGACCTCAACTAAAATGGAAACTGCAACGTCAGTGTTGAAATCTATAACAACTACACAGTCGCCTCCTAACCAACCCAGCTCTACCCGAATTACAGAAAGAGTTCTTAAGCGGCGAGTCAAGAACAACAAACCCGAATTTCTCATCAAATGGCAGAATCTACCCAAAACAAAAACACCTGGATCCCTGAGGCTAAGCTTGATAGTGTCGCCGTAGCATACCTGGACACTAATGAAAAATGAGTACCTGGGCCTAAACCGTATGAATATATGCCCACGTGGCCTACATGCAGGCACACCGGGCCAGAGTGCAACAGGTCGTTCGCATTCGGGATAATTATTTTTAATATTATGATAACTGACAATTTCACGTTATATTTGAACATTTGAATAGCGACTTATCTCGACATGAGGACATGTCTTTCTCGAGAGGGCGGCAATTGTCACAGAGTGACTTAACTGCACTCTGGACAACGCAATGTTAAAGAATTGTAGCTTCTGAACAACATCCCTTTTGTACAGTATTGAGAAAATATCGTTTAGGATATCTGGACTATTTAACATGATGTAATCCATGCGTAACAGCGGTCAGTTGAACCATTGTCTAACACAGCATTTCACATTATGACATTTATAGCCTTAATCCATTTTCCCCCGGCCGTGTCTGTATTCACATCCATAAGCCCTATGGCCAGGGCAACGCCATTGTCTCTTTGTCTGTCTATTGTTGTCCTATAGTGTATATATATGTTTACATCTTTACTGTTAGTCAGTCTGGTATTCCGACAGCACCTGTATGTACAGCCGCGAGTAGGATACGCCTGCTTGCTGGACTTCACTTGTACTTGTTGAGTTGGAATCTCTGCTCGACATATTTCTATTAGTAATTGTATTTGTTTGTATTATTGCCGACTAAAGAAGTTTGGACTCAACGTATTCTTCGTCTTCAATCTGAGCTTATTTCCCCGTCAACATACGCGTTGACAGTGTGACAAAAAAAACTGAATTAACTCTGACACCTGGTTATCGAGTTTGCTGACCCAAAACACGTCCAGATTTCCTTACAATTCACATAAATATGAAAATGGGTGTTCTGAATGCAACAAATAATTCTAAAATTGTCTCAACGCCGATTATGAACCTCACGTTTCTACTCTTATCAAATTCGTGGCCGGGTTAGTCGCGCAAGGTTGCACCAGTACTATAGCGCCCGTGGGGATTCCGAGTGAGACTTCCGCGAAAGAGGAAAGCCTGAACAGAGGAAATACACTGAACGCATGTAGTTGACCTCATTTTAACCCTACAATGCAAGTGAGATAACGTACAACCTTTTCCTCTTTCACTTGTCCCGTCATTTCAATAACACTGGGGCGGTCGGGCCAGTGGTTAAAGGTGAGGTGAGGTGAAATGGGGTTTAACGTCGCGTCCAAGATTATTG